TTATTATAGCTAGGTACCTATGTACTTTTATAGATAGATTATACTTCATAGGAAAATGTTACAGTATTAATGTTATTAATAGTGTTAACAAGTTTAATTACTTTAGTTAAATATTTTAATATACCTACTTGAAATGTTAAACAAGAATCAATCAAAATTAAAAAGAAATACTGTAGCTAAATAAATAGCTGAAATTTAAAACATTATAATGGTCTCCAGTATAGAGTATGTTGTTCTTGCTGGTATGGTTGACTATTGGATTGGTTGGTGTCATAAGGAGAAATATGTGTTTCTTGATGGTGATGTAGCAGATCTTGTGGTTGGTTAATTTCATAGGGGGGTTGATAAACTGTGCCTTGTTGTATTGTTGTGTTTTGTTCTTGTTGACTAATTTCCATTTTTTCRTTAGCATCATTAACTAGTTTTAATATGTCATATTTTAAAATTCTCTTTACTTTTGGATTTAATGCTTTGATATCTGGTAGTAAGCTTTTTAGAAAGTTCATATCTGGATCATCAGGTTCTTCATTTCTTTCCTTTGTTAATTTTTTATTGGTAAAATAGTTAGTGACTACCTTATTTAGCTCATCTAGTGATGATGTATTATTTTTTTTAAATATACTTTTATCATTTGTCTTGGGTTTGTGTACAGAAGTTTCTTGACATGTTATAGAAGTATCAATATCAATTTCATCATAATCTTCAGTTTCTAAACCATCGTTATCATTTTCTTGGGTTTGTAAATTTCCGGTTTGGGGTCTTGATTTGGTGAATGGTTCGATGAATTGTAAGTATTCACTTAGATAGTAATCTTTCTTTTTGCGTTTGGCTCCAGATCCACTTGGTGGTTGTTCTTTAACTTGCCTTAAGTACCTTCCTCTAATATTCCTCCATTTTTCTTTGCAATCACTTACTGAAAATATAAACTAATAGATTTTAATACAATTTAAACTTAAATATTATATACAATATATAGGTATAATAAAGATGGGCAAGTTAATGATAATAATAAACTCAATAAGTTAAAAGTTAAAATGGAAAAAAATATTAACTTAATTCACTTTAAAAAAAGGTAATATACATTTTTTSTAATTAGTATGTTCATCACATAAAGAGTGCATTATTTTTAATTTTCAAAATTATAATAAACAATTTTATTGAGCATTAATTATAATGTATAATGTATGTACCTATTTTACTTAACATGATTATTAAATATTTAAATTATACYAATTCAATATCCGACTAACTCAACATCCAAACCCTCTTATCATAACTCAACTCTCATCTGCAACTATCCCAGGCAACTCTAAACAAAGGCTAAAAAAGCAGTGGTGTGAAAAAAATTTAAAAATGTGCAATATACTCTAACTACTATCTTGACAAAGTACCTCCATTGGAAGGTCTCTTGACTCCGTCATTCCTGCTATATTTTACTATTAAATATATCGATAAAGCTATAAAGAATTAAGTTAAAAAAAAAAAAATTAAATTATACCAACACAACCTTATTGATAATTTAACAAATATAAATTTGTTTTTATCAATTAGCAATTTAATGTCATAAAATATTATGCCTACCTAATCTAATTAAATATATCTATAAAAGCTAAATGAAGGTAAGTWATAAAGTTTATGGAAATAACCATAAATAAGGTTAGGTTAGAATTAAATCAAATTTAATTTAATTAATTAAATTTGTAAGGTTGGACATTTGGAGTACAATTTTTTTTTTTAATCAGATTTCTTGCGATGGGAGGTAAYATGAAGRCTCATTCAATGTACTTTTTGAGAGRAGAGTCAACTACTAGAATTATTATTTCTRAAACATCCCAAGTTATTTGGGATTGTCTCCACRATATTTATATGCCAGTTCCTTCAAAAGAACATTGGAAAAAAGTTGCAGATCGTTTTTATGATTTATGGAACATTCCAAATTGTATTGGCGCTATCGATGGGAAGCACTTTAAAATCAAATGCCCATCAAATACAGGCTCAGCTTATTTTAATTATAAGCATTACTTCAGTGTTGTTTTGATGGCCTGTGTKGATGCAGATGGACTTTTTTTAACGATTGATGTTGGTGATTATGGGCGAAACAGTGATGGCAGAGTATTTAGAAGGAGTTCGCTTGGAATAATCTTAGAAAATAACGCATTGGATATTCCCGAACCTAAAGTATTACCTGGATGGGAAAATAAGGACAAATTTCCACACTATTTTGWGGCAGATGAAGCGTTTCCCCTAAAAAACAATATAATGCGACCATTTCTAAAAAGGTCATTGAATAAAGAAAGACGCATTTATAATTACAGGTAAAAAAAAATTTGCACTATCTTTGTAATACTATATATATATATATATATATATATATATATGTATATTACTCTCATAAATATTTATATATTACATTGTATTTTTATTTACAGATGTTCTAGAGCAAGGAGGAGTGTGGAGTGCAGTTTTGGAATGCTTGTGTCAAAGTTTAGACTTTTTGAACAACCTATAGGTTRCAAAGTAGAAACAGCCGAAGCATTGATTAAAGCAGCATGTGTTTTACATAATTTTATTCGCATAAAAGAAGGTGTATTTTCAACACCTTCACACCCATCAACCATTAWTTCAATGGGATATCAAAATATTGAGGATCAAGGGATAAGACCAACAAGAGCAGCAGAAAGCAACAGAGATTTTTTATGTGACTATTTTGTATCAAACGAGGGTAAAGTCCCATGGCAGGATAATTTCTCAAAAAATATTTTGATAAAGTTATTTGATTTTAACATTTTTAGTATAAGATAGATTAGTGTTTGAGTAAATAAATAAAGATAATGCAAATTATTTATAAATAAAATATAAAAATTATATTATTAATTTAAATTGGTATTGTTTAAATTACAAGTCTCAACATTAGGTATATAAATTATTTGTTATAAAATGTTGGTATTGAACCTATAATTAATTGATATTTTAGAAAATGTACCAATACATTGCTACACAAGTTGCTAGTTGGCAGTTGCTTAGGTACTTATAATCTCACTCAAAAGTCAAAAACTATCACCATAATATGTCTTACTCAMATTGTTAACCATWATWAATTTGATGATAAGTACTTGTTGGTATTTAAAAAAAGATTTTGAAAATAAGGTAGTTTGGTCGTTAGTGTTAAGCAATAGGTAAAATTTAAAAGTGATACCTGAGATTAGTAGATATTAGTATGGGCCCTGTCAGGTAAATGCATTGAAGGTTGAGCAAAAATAGTTTTGATAATTTTTATTGATTGTACTTGAGAGTACAATTGATTAATTTGTTAAACATAATAATTAACAGTAATAAGTACTTAACTATATACCTACTGTATACAATATAGTGATAATTACCTGATTTATTAACTGTTTTTGAAACCTCATTCCATGCTGCTGTTTTTGCCCGATCGTTGCTATACGATTTTATATTATAATCGTACAAACATGCATATTTTTCAATTTCCTGTACTAGTTGAATACTCACAATAGTGTCTTGCTCAGCCATATTATTAATTTATAATGTATTATAATATATAAGCATAAATTAATCAAAATTATAGAACAAATATGAAAATGAATATTCAATAAAAATATTTTCACCGCACGCGCACTGCAAGAAAAAACTGCCAATGACTGGTTTGTGGTGTGGGCATTCCCATAAGATAACGTGTGTTCTATTTTTAATTCGGCACTGCGCGCAGAGCACCGCAAACTCGCCGCCGCCGCACTGCATTGGTGTGCGCCGGGCCTTTGTCAACAAAAAATTAAAAATTATAGCAGCTAGCCCGGACGGTTTGATTGACGATAATTCTATTGTAAACATTWAATATCCAGCGTTAATAAAAGATTTTACACCTTAAGAAGTTTTTGAAAATAAAAAGATGTACTTTATGAATTTGATTGACGGAGGATTCAAATATTAAAAACTTCTCATGATTATTATTATAAAATATAGAGACAATTACACATAGCTGATAGAAAATATTGATATCTTGTTCTATCGACGCCTCATAGTATCATATAGTTTTGTATTATTATTATTATTTATTTTAGATCATACTATAATATTACCAACTGTCCTGACCCAGCATTGCCCGGGATTTAGTTTGTCAGGGCTGAGTAAAATAATATTTATAATGTTATTATTTTACCCTAGATATGGTTGTTGATAAAATTACAAGAAATAATTTTGGATTAAAATCGAGCCTCATTTAATAAAATTTTACGTGGAGCGCTTGCTTCCTGAACTAATTGACTCCCGGTTTGACAGAGGATATCCTCACAGAGGATAACCTTGTAACAAATATGTTTGATGACACTTTATCAGTGTAAAAATGAATATTGATGTAAATTACTAATACATTTTCATATTATATAATTTTTGAGTATTTTTAAAAGTTATTTTTTTTAAATATAGTTTGTTTGATATCTACTAGTATTTAAGTTAATACATCCTTTTTAGTTAAGAACATATCTATATATTTTAAAATTTTGTGTCTTGAAAAAAATTGAAGTTTTTGATACCGTCATAATTATGCTCCAAACAAAGTGTCGGAAAAAACTCACTTACCAATAACTTGGGTTTAATTTTATTTCAGAAAAAAAAAGTCTTTTATAATCTTAAATAAATAGATCATGCAAGAAAATTTGTTTTATATTGTACCACGGACGTCTCTATATCCGTGTACTTTACCTATTGCACGGCGGTCGATGACCTATATAATATTATATGACATACGATCATGAGCATGAAGTTGGCCCCCCACTTTGTTGAACCGAATTCAAAACACCAAAAAATAATTGTAAATTAATTGCAAATAATTCCAAATTAAGTTTCGTTAATTGTAAATCATCTAGTTTTGAGTAAATTCAAATTAAAAATAGGGGGGCCAACTTCATGCAGCCCCCCCGCTACTTTCTCCAATCACCTTTGAATTACTATCAATTAATTGTAAAATTATAATTTCGAATTGAGTTTCGCTAATTGCAAATCCTTTTTCATATTTTTTACAAATTTTTCAAATTGTTTATCCAGCCCCCCCACTTTGTCAGATCGACATTTTGTTATCTATTCTCAATACTGTAAAATCCACGCAAATGATTTTTTTTCAGTAGTATATAAAATAGTAGTAGTATAATTAGGAAAATTATTAAATTGAAAAAAATAATCAAGATATTGTATTTGTGTTAAAACATTTTAAGATTTATTTGTAAGTATGATGGTTAATGTGAAATATATTTATAAATTTTATATTATTCTTTCAGAATATAATATATAAGAAGGTGCTGCGGCTTTACTTTTATTTTATTTGCGTTGACATGTGATTTAATTAATTTGCCTGGAATTATAAAACATGTTTTATGTTTGAAGTAAATATTACGGCTCGATCGGCGTCCCATGTCAGTAGATCGATTCATAATAAATCATATCAATAGTATTTACAGTGACAGTGACACTAAAATATTTGGTAGTGCGCAAATACAACATAAACAAAAAACAAAACCACTATCAATAAATTTGTTTTCAAATATTTCTGACGATGAAAACTTTTTATGATCATTCAACAAAAACATCACTGAAGCTGTATCGGGTTTCAATGAAAAAAATTGTAGAATAGAAAATAATGGAGTGGACAATAACTTTAAATAGATATAATATTATGAATGATAGTGATGGCGAGGAAGAATTTTCAAAAATATTAGTACATAATGAAGACAATAGTATGATAGAAAGTGATGAYGAGGAAGATGCTTAAAAAGTATCTGATAATGATTATTTTGAAAATTGGAAAGGAAAAGGCCTAGAAGTAGATATACGCAAATCTGACTTTGAAATCTTCAACTAAAAAATAAATAATAAATATATAGATAATATACCAGATATCAAAAAAATTCTAAGCATTCGAAACTTAAGATCAAAAAAGACACTTTTATTAAATGATAACACTACATTACTACAACACCAATACCCATCAATAAAAATAGTTATATTGTAAATAACACTTGTTCATTTGATTCGGTTTCAACAGTTATAGCTATGGCATATTTGAATAATCCCTTTTATAAACATTTTATAGATAACAGAAAGAACCAATTTTTAGAATTTCGCAAAAATCTGGTTACTGTAAATACATCAGCTATTATTCATAAGGACTAAAAATTCTTAATACCATTTTTGAAGAAGACACAGGAATTACAGGTGTTTATATCATAGATTGTACCTGTAATGTACTATTCATAGTGACGAGTCTTTTAAAAGACGCTGTATCAGCTTATGAACACGTCATAGAATGTAATAATATAAATTGTAAAAGTGTTATTATTAGAACTGTACCTTATCCAACAATTATTGTAAGACTGAAGGAAAGATTTAAAACTCTAGAAACGAGTGTCCAGAAATATTTCAATATTAAGATAAACGTATGCTTGGAATGTGATAAAAATGCTTCATCAACAAAGGAATTATGTCAATACATCTTCATCAAGATGTATTCACTATTTGATGATAAAAGTCAATTTGTTTTTTAAATTTCCTACAAAACTAAAAGTGAATGCAAAACATAAGTTAAAAATTGTTTAAAAAAATGCATAGACTATTTATAAATTATAACATGGATGCAAAAGGGGTATAATATATAAAATATATAAGCCTAAATCATAATATATCGAAAAAAGTTATTATTAACTAGATAACTAATAAAACTTATCTGAAAAAATATTTAATATTATATACACAGCAATTTAATAAAATGGCAATTATAAGATTTATAATTCATACACTTTAAAATATTTTATGCCAAAGAAAATAAGTTGGGCCATATAGTTGGTATTCTACGTACTTTTGAATAAAATATCTATAAATAAACAGTCATAAAATTAATAAATTGGTGTTTCAGTTATATACTTCATGGTGTGGTATCTTATAGATATGGTCATTATGTGTCTCATATAAGAAGATTCAATGGTGAATGGGAAACATAACGATCTACAAAAAAAAATTAAATCACATGTCAACGCAAATAAATTAAAAGTAAAGCCGCAGCACCTTCTTGTATATATTGTTGAAGAATAATATAAAATTTTTAAATTTATAAATATATTTCACATTAACCATCATACTAACAAATAAATCTAAGAATGTTTTAACACAAATACAATATCTTGATTATTTTTTCCAATTTATTAATTTACCTAATTATACTACTACTTTTTTATATACTACTGAAAAAAAAAATTTTTTGTTAAATTAAATTGAATTAGAGTATTGAGTAAGTCACTAATTTGATGAAAAAAAAATCATTTACGTGGTTATTACAGTAACAGATAACAAAATGTCGAGCTGATAAAGTGGAATGGGGGAAGAGGAGCTGGTTAAAAAATTTGAAAAATTCGTAAAAAATATAGAAAAGGATTTGCAACTAGCGAACTCGATTTACAATTATTTGCAATTAATTTACAGTCAGGGTTCGGGAAAAAACAGTGTTTTTCATTTTAAACAAAAAAACACAGTTTTTTATTAATTTCCATTGTTTTTTTTGTGTTTTTTCAATTGTTTTGAACATGTTTTAAAACAAGAAAAAAATTGTTGTAATTTACTTTGAAAGGACGATGTGAAATTGCACATAGAAGTATAGTACTCGATTGGGTACAACGATAGAACACAAATAATGTATGTTATTATGTTGCAATGTTTATTTTCGAAGGTGGTCATAGTGTTGGGGATATCAAGGGAATTTATGTAATCAACGCTAGACAATATAATATTATGATA